CAATTATCAATTTCATTGGTGACGGCGGGGAACGAACCCGGATTGCTCGCGTACTGTGAAAATTACAGCAAACGCTCACCATTTAAGCTGTGTAAAGAAATTGTAAATATATTATAGTGCGTAGTATAGTGATTCCAAAGCGGGCGATTAAAAGAAATAATGTCCCATTGAGTGCGTATGTTTTTCAGTAAATCTGAAGTGACAGAAGAATACGATTGTAGAATTTTTAGTATAGTAGATTGTGGCGGCGCTGTCGTCGCGCCGCAAGTAAAACACACTGAAGCCTAAATCACGCTATTAAAATTCCGAATCATAAACAGTATACATAGAACATCTCCGAACTACCACAGCCACACGGCCACAAGATATACATTTTAAATGTTCGGGGACAAACCGATCGTGTAAGACAGATACGAGTGTACAAAGTGTTCTGAAAGATCAACGATAGTGGAGAGATAGCCATTTAAAATGAGAACAAAAAAAGGAAATGTGATCATATTTGCCCAAACCAAAATGCTTATGTGTGTGTGGGTTATTATGCTTTCTATATTAAAATATATAGTGTTCGAATGTAAGTACTCAAAATATGTGTAGTATGTAGTATCATTTAAAAATGCGTATGCTATTTATCAGATATAGAGTAGATTGGGTAGATTATTTTTTAAATAATAATGTTGACAAACGAGCCCACAGTCCATCTGATTGTAAGTGTATGTTGTAATCCATAGATAGATATCTCTACATTTACCGTTGATTAAGAATCAAAAAAAAATAGTTCGTGGTGGAAATGTACTGGTTAGAGAAGTCCACCAATTAAACAGTTACAGAACAGTATGTGCAATAAAGATTTTAAATAAATAAGAGAATAAAACGTGCAGTTATTAAAAATACGATACAGTTTGTCTACATGTACCGCTTAAGAGGCATCAGTTTAGCAGATAACAGCGTGATCAATTCTTGGCAACACTAATGTTTGTTTAAGCATTCTTTTTTTCCTGTCGGGAAATTTATTTTCTTTATAAGAATCATTTTTACAATGATTATTTTTATTACACTGTTACTATATTCAAGACTGTTCACTTGATATGCTATATTATGGTTGCACATGTCTATGCTCGTCGTATCCAAAATATGCGAGAAAATTAACGCAGAGTGTTTGTAACTGTTTGATGCTAAATGTGTTGCGCTGAAAGACGCTGACATTGATTTTCTTCGCTTTGTCCCGAAGTAACCCTTAGCAAAGCCAATTAAATCAACCCTCTATCAAGTTCCATGAAACTCCGCAGTCGTTATATTTGTGTACGTCACATTAGCATGTAAATATTGGACTCCATAGATATGTCTATTAAAATTATTAATATTAGGTTTGCAAATAATAAAGTACAGAATAGAGAGTGATGAATATTTAACGATTTATCATTATCATCGCCAGCCCTTAAACAGTCCACTTTTTATATATTTATAAAAGGAGGCAAACAAGCATGCGGCTAACTTGAATGTAAGTGACTACCGCCGCCAATAAATAAGAAGCAACACCAGGGGACTTGCAGATGCGTTGCTGGCCTTTTAAAAAAGAGTAGACCCTTTTATTGAAGGTCCCTAAGTCGTATCGGTCCAGAAAAATCACAGGTGGTACTCGATACCACGAGGAAGTTGTGCGAGGAAGAAAACTTCTGCAGTCAGTGATGGACAGCCAGTCATCCATATGGTGTGGACATGCAACGTCCTCTATTATAACTAAGCAGGAAAATTGGCAGTCATAACCATTATCATTATTGGCTCCCAGGGTCATTATGCCCGTCCTTAGTATGCGTTCTTTAAGTGTTGCCAGGTAGAGAGGTAGAAGGTGGTAACCAAACCTGCACCGGAGTTTCTTAGCATACCCTGCTCCGCTGTTACCATGGTCACCAGCGTAGCCAGAAACATCGAGGCTGCTGAGGATTGGGGGCCGTATCTTTGAAGCATTATATTGCCATAGTTGCATGCTTATGCTACTAATACTCTCGCTAAACCCAAATCGGTATCGGTTATGTTGATTCTTAATTGAGGATATGAAGTCTGCAGAATCCAGTCAACAGCAGGTGGACTGTGTGCTCGTTTGTCATCCTTACCCTATAAAAAAGGCTGATTCGAACCCATGATCTGCCGAGTTCGCAGTCCGTATCCTTAATCGTGTGACTATTGTCACTTTGGATTGAACAAAAATTAAATTATTATTACAATGTTATTTCGGGTATATTAGTATATAGCAGAATGTTCAAGGATATTAGTATAAAGTATAGCCTGAAGCCCGAAGCTAACGGTATTTTGTATCAATAGTGTTGCGCGCCTAAGTTGACGTCATGTACCCGGCACTAGCACCATCTAGTGTCGGGAACCAGCGCGAGGAGGGCTTCCTAGAAAACGTCAATCTTGACTTTCGACCAACAGCGCCATCTAGTATCGAACAGAAGATCATTCAAGATTTTCAAGATTCAGATCGATTAAGCTTTCTAGAAGCCCCACAATGGAACTTTCTGCGTCTGGTCGGTCGGTGCCCGTATCTACGGGAATATTCTGGATATTTCGGTGAAAAATGTGTATTTAAAGGCGCTGCAAGACGCGATCGAGGCAGTATTGAATTTGGCGAGACAAGCGAAGCTTCGGAGCGAAATAAAGTGAATTAGTGTGATTAATTATTAGTGTTCTAAGTTTTAATTGGTGTTCGATAATAAAAGTGTAAATTTTGGTAATTCAATCGGCAGTTTTTATTGTCACGAACCTCAAGCTCGTAACAATATCGATATAATTTTTCTATATTGTTATGATGAATATACTTGTTGGTACTCAATATTTAATTCTAAATTTATTAAATATCTTATTTCAAACATAATAAAACACTAAAGCCTGTCACCCAGATGGGTAGGCAGAGATTACGGACTTCCATTTGGCACGATCATGACCCACTTTGCTAGCCTCCTTTACATCTATATACCTACGCATGCATGCTCGTCAGTTAAGGGCACTCTTAAACTGGCCCATTTATATATCGTCAATTTGGTTGATAAACCTTCATCTAGGCCGTTCTTTTCGACTCTGCCGTTCACTTCTGCAAAATAAATTTTCTTTGTCACGCTACTGCTGTTTTACGCTTGTATACTGTGAGAACGTGAACTACACAGATTGAGCAGATCCGTTTGTACTACAACCATAATATGTATAAAATTATCAAAGATAAAGAGAGTAAAAAAAGAAAAGATAGAAAATATACCCAAAATGGACGCGCACAGAAACAAAAACTCTAAAGCTTAAAGCTTACATAAAAGTAAAAATCCAAAATCCCCCAGTGCAGGGCGCATCCATTAAGCAAATTACAATAAAAAGGAGCGGAACGAGGGCGCACTTCACTTGTTCTCCAAATAATATGTTTGAACAGCATGCATCCGAACTTCCACGGTGCTACGAAAATAACAAGTTTAAGTGTTTATCCAAATCACAGAAATAAAGCTGGAGTTTAACCAAGTGAATACAATCACAAGAATATAAAATAATTTATATTCTATGCAAATAATTTCAAAAACCAGCTAACATTTTGCAGAATCTTTTTTGCCAGTGTTGAGTATCGAGCTCGAGTGGAGAGATCAGAAGGCAGGCACCATGGTTTTAGTGAAGGTCAATCGACCTCCTCTTCTTTGGCTGATGGGCAGAGTGATCGCCGTAAGACCAGGATCTAACGGTCGTACTAGGGTTGCCGACATTTTCACCACAAAGGGAACCATTAAAAGAGCATTTAATAACATCTGCCCTCTTCCATTGTCTCCTGCGCCATCTTGAAGCCTTCAGAGCCTATCAGTTATACAGTCTACATATCGAAGTATTTGTTTTAATTCGAGAATTTCACCAACACAAGTGGAGCTCTATACTCAACAGCCAGTTCTCACCTATTTGAAAAGAAAAAAGACATAACTTTTAACTTAAATAATTAATAAAATATTATACATAACAATTGAGAATTTCTTAAAAATTTTAAAAAAGAAGTTTTGATTTGATTGGATAACTAAAAATATTAAAATCATTTACACATAATAGCTTTAATAAATGAGTGCTACGATAAAGTGTAAAAACAAATTAAAACCCCGATTTCTGAAGCTGTTATGTAGAAATTATTTTATTCTGTACCTCCTTAAGGGCAAATATTAAAAATACAACCACAAATGGCTTAGCAAGATCCTACGTTATGCCGAAAATATTGCAGCATTAATTTTTAAATAAATATATGGTGAAGTTGAGGATTAATGTTAAGTACTATGTTAGACGAAAACACGATTTCGTTGAATTTTCTCGATAGAAAAAAAAATCCGAAGTTACCTCCAAACTTAACAATAAACCGCTGTTATTCATAAAATACTTTAAATCAGGTCATGAAACTTTGCATACCAACTGAATCAACTACAAAGCAGGGCTTATGATTTTTATTTTTTTTAATTGCCATTATTTTCACTGTAAAAAGAATTTACCTAAACAATCGGCATCCTGAAGCTTGTGTCCTGCCGCTCGGTCAGTTTTGCTTCGGCCTTTGAAGGGGGAAGTTGTGTCATTTACGATCAGAATACGTAAAATTAAAATGGGAAATAACCGTAATAAAAATAAGAAGCGAGTGGGTTAGCGTAAAGAAACAGGCATAAATATGATAAAACTAATGAAATAACTATCTAACGACCTATCTACTTACAGTATTAGTGATTACAAACATGTCGGTACATAACATACGACGCGCGGGGAAGAGAGGGCAAAATTAGAATTTTGGCTGAGTTACTATATCCCCTTAATAATCATTAATAAATGTAGGTAATCTAGAGACGGCAAGAGACACCATAAATGAAGGTTTATCAACTAAATTAGCGATATTTTGCTCTACCATATTAAGAGTACCCTCAAATCAAAATCTAGTCAAATTATTTTACGATTTTATTTATGTTGTGAATAAATTTCATTTGGAATAAAATAAAATTGTACTTTTGTCACTAGAATAACATGAAAATACAGTTATGTTTATCATTAAAATAATTATAAATGCCAGTATATATTTTTTTATTAATAAACCGTCACAGTGAAATTTTCTCTTGTTTCTTCTCGCCTAGAAGAGATCCACATTATAATCAGATGGAAAGACAGATACTGGCAACTTCTACCACACCTTTGCTGTACGCATGACGAACGATGCAGCGAACCAGTTTGGTTCGAATGCGTGGTAAGTCGACAACGATAGGATGGAGACCGGCCTAGCGCTTGGTAGTCCGATGGTGAAAAGGAGAAGGAGGAATTAAGTTATGCAAATCCTGAGCACTCTCTTCAAAACGCATTTCATATAAAACCGAAAAGCTTTCTACTTTAATTTAACTTTAACATAGACATAAATACGTCTTAATACATTTATATTAAACGTCTTAAAGAACCATACTTAATTTACAATGCTTTAACACGAATGTGTTGCTCTTGTTATCATATGGTTTTAACAGAATCAGGTCAGAATCAGGCTACGAACTAGACTGTTTCACTACTTCAAATCAACTCTACATTAATTTTTCTACCATCATCGAGTATATCTAAAAAGCAAAATTTTTGTTAACCTGTCATAAAATTGTAAAACAATTTTTTTCATAGACGTGTTTACAGTTGCAACATGCATTACTTATAACGCATGTTGCAACTGTATATACGCGTCTTAGTTTTGTATTTCGGGTCAAAACATTGTGTTTATTAGGTTTTTTTATAGAATAATGTTGACAAACAATGAGCACACAGTCTACCTGATGCTAAGTGGATGCTGTGGTCTATAGACATCTACATTTATTCTCCAATATTATTCTTTAAAATGCAGATACGTTGTCACCACTGAGGACTAAGATGCAATGACTTGTAAACGGGAGACCATTTTTACTGGAAAAAAATGGTCTCCCGTTCTCTACACTCACCGTATGATACACAGCAGCATTAACCTGCTATTTTACGCTGGTATGCTACGAGAAGCGGTCCTACCCAGGTCGAACCGACCCATTCGTGCTGCAACTAATATACTCGTATATAGCTGCAACGTAGCTCTACTACATATAAGTATTCATATTTATGTAAAAATGAATATAAACTTTTGTGTACATCTAATAAATTAATAAATAAAAGCAAAAAAATAGTAGTAAAGTAGATTTTTAGAACTCACCTCGGGATTAATCGTCGGCGGCATCACAATCTTCTTTTGTGGGGGAGACCTTAGCACTACGTTTTCGTCTCGTATGATGATTTGCGGTTCCATAGCCAGAAGTTTCTTTTTGCACTCCTGCATTTGCAGACATTCCTTATCCTTTTTAGACAATACAGATTCCGATGAAGCATGCTTCGAAGAACCAACGGAAGTGGTTTTGCTCGATATTTTCAAACTGTCTATTGACGCCGTTATTTTGGCGCTCTCTTTACCGTTTGAGGACGCCATTTTGATTTTTGTTTGAGGTTTTTTTTTATTTCACTGTGTCACAATTTCAACGTAGTTTTCACATTAGTTTACGTTTGAACAATTATGTAACCTACATTTGGTGGTATAGGTATATAGGTATACTTTTTGTTACATGTACATATACATAAATAAAATAGAATTGTCTGTCTGCAATATTCACGTAACTGGTTATTATTAAGTTCAATATGGAGTATTTCTACTGTTTTCTAATCTGGTTAGGATACATAAATAATAAACATATTCTTACAACATAAATAAAATAGAATACTTAATAGAATATATTTCATAAAACAGATGGGATCCCTCCGTAGGGAAGGTCAAACCGACGAGGTTTAGGTGGAAAAAGAAAGAAACCGGCGGACGACTTTATACATTTGAAGCAAAAGCGGTCCGTTACGGAGTACCGGTCGCCTCAGGATGACCCGAGAGGCTATCCGGGAATATCCCGTTTGCAGAGGAATAACTTCGGTCGGAAAACTATTCTACATGTCGGTCACATCGTGAGCCAGGTCCAGATATTTTGTTTATTATTGAGCTCAATATTATTACTATTAAGATATGAACAACCATTTTTAAAATTTTTGTCTCTCTGTCTATACAGCCTAATCTTCCGAATGGCTGAAGTGATTTTTAGTGAAACTTTGCGAATAGATGTTTGAGTTTAAAAAAATGAAAATGACGACTGTGGAAAATATTCCCTGTTATGAGGTGATCGATAAGGAAAGTCTGTGTTGGTACGAGCTTGGAGTTTTGATAAACAGTAATTAAAGAATAAATGATCTGTTATCTCAAGTGATCAACTATTACGTTATATTTTAATAAAATCATAATGTCCTTCAGTAAAGTAAAAGTAAAGTTACAGCCTATATACGTCCCACTGCTGGGCACAGGCCTCCCCTCATTTCTGAGAGGGTTTAGGGCAAGGAAGTGTCCGCCGCGCTGACACAATGAGTGTTGGCGAACTTCACATGTCTTCGAAATATTTTTTCCTTATTCCTCAGACATGCAGGTTTCCTCACGATGTTTTCCTTCACCGCTGAGCACGTGGTAAATCAGCACTTAAATTTGCATTTAACAATTTCATTGGTGCCGGCGGGGATCGAACCCGGGTTACTCGCGTTCTGTTATATTTACAGCGAGCGTTAACCATCTGAGCTACCACGGCTCAGACTGAACACGGCACGGTCCTTCTCACTGAATTTCAATCACAATGGGACTGGCCACTGCGCAGGGCAGGATTGTAGTGCACGAGTGTGTGTGCAAACACAGCTTGTTTCAAATCAAAAATATTTATTACATTCCTAACTACAGGTAAAATTAAATAAGATCTTAAAAATGTTTTATGTGTATTCGATCTACCTTTTTTTAGTTGTACGATATTAAATCAAAAATATAATTATTAAATACCTAAATTCTATACCTACATTAAGTACCTATATGAATTCATTCAATTATTATAATATTTGTGTTAGTTTTATATAATCACAATTATTACCTGCGAATTAAATTTTTATTATAATTTTGGTCTAATATTTAACATCAATAATTTGTTTGAATTATTTATATAATAAATATAACCGCTAAACACGTTTTATTCCCTCACTCTCATAGTTCGATGGGACGATAATCTGACATGACCAAAGAAAAATCAGAAACAGGAGGCTTTACGTGCTTTCCGAAGCACAGGTTGAAAAACCGCCAATTACCTACTGCAACTAAGAATTTCTATATAGAAAAACCCAATGTATGATTTTGGTCATCCGGGATTTGAACCCGGTACCATATGATCAGCAGCGCGCTTGCAACCTCTAGAACAACGAGGCAGTCATATTTTAATAATTCAACGTCGAAGATTCCATTAGATCAATCATTACTAAAGAAAACGTATGGGCTGCCTTCACTCGCCTGCCAGTAAACAAATCAAATTGTTTATTATGTGTTACGTACAGTAAGGAATGAGTTATAGCGAGGATTGCAGTTAAGAAAATGTTTGTGTGTACTAAAATATTATTGTTATTTAATAACTAGCCTCTTTTATAGAATAGGATGACAAACAAGCACACAGTCCATCTAATGGTAAGTGGATTTGAAGATATCTATGGACCACAGTCCATAGATATCTATATTTATCATCGATTAAGACTCAAAATGAAAATGCGTTTTCACCCGTGAGGAATAAGATGAAATGCCTCGTTTCCGGTAAATTGTCCCCGGTTTTCTACTCTCACCATACGAAACACAGCAGTATGGAGCTGCTATTTTAGGTTGGTATGCTGTGAGAGCGTAGTCCTGTCAAATCGACCCATTCGTGCTAGAACTATAATATAGTTGCAACATGGCTATACTACGTAAAATTACAAAACTTCTCAATGCATAAACACACCATTATATCTTTAAACTTGTAGAGGTGATTCAAAAAAATCTAACACCACATTATATTAACCCGTAAGTATTATAACAGGTGGCAGCGCCGAATGAAACGGGAGATGGGAAGCAGCATCTTCGTGATAACATCTCAAAATAATTAAAGGTCGCGGTTGTCAACCCGAATGTTGAGCGCGGAAACTATGACAAACACGCCCACTATAAGGCAATCTATGTGGGAGGTATAAATTTGACAGTAGACTGAAACTTTGAAAGCTGTAATTAATGAATTATGAATGAACATTTTTTCTTTTAATTTTAGAATTATTGTATAACACGTTATTAAAAAATATCCATAATAATGTTAATGGAATATTGTATCAGTATACAGTATCGTATTGTATCAGTAAAATGGACGATGTTTTGAAATAGATTTCTTTAAAAGTTTTCACTTTAAAAAGTGATGTTAATTTAAGTAAGTTATGATGATGATATAACGTAACACATTGATCTTGTTATGTACATCAAATAAAAATTATTTCATTTGCTTTTATTCTATTCCACATCTAGGCTTATGTTTGAAAATCTAATGTAGCAGGGAAAAGTATATAACAATATTTTAGTTCGAGTTGGCGAACTTTTAATGACCGCGCTGTACATTATTATTTTACTATGTAATGTTAGACTAAATATAATTTTAACAGATAAACAATATTTTCGACCGCGATCCGATCCATCGCCCCATATTTTTAAATAATTATCAATAGCTTCTAGTTTTATAATTTTTTCTTTTTACAAAAACATCTGCATGTTTTTATATCCATTCTCGCATTGCACTCTATCTGATTGTAAAGTTCGCACTATCGATTTAGTCCAGACAGAGAGACAAAAAATTTAAAAATGAAATTATTTAAGCTCTGTCTCGGCATGCCAATAAACTTAGCTCAGCACAAACACTTCAATTTTTTTATGTGTATATTATAGATATAGTTATTTATATTATTACATATTAGTGTAAAACGTAAGGTGACTTCAGTAATATACTCGTTACGTTCTACTTAGATATTTTTAGAGGAAAAGTCTTAAAAGTTTTTCCTTTTCTTACTTCCATCTTACAACCTGCATTTGTTTTCATTGTTATTACTGTAGTTAATCGTATCATGTTCTTCTGTTTTTTAACCGTCTTCAAAAAAGAGGAGGTACACAATTTGACTGTATTTTTATGTGTTAGCTCAGAACTTTTATTTATAGGTAAACCGGTTTTTATAATTCATTTTCATTTGAAAGCTGGTGCTTCCTGTTTAGTCACATATAAATTTGATGAAGATCTGACCAGTAGTTTTCCAGTTATCTTTAATAAAGCGCATTTTATTGACTTCGACTAAATAGATTAATTAACAATTTTATTGGTGCCGGCGGGGATCGAACCCGGTTTACTCGCGTTCTGTTATATTTACAGCGAGCGTTAACCATCTGAGCTACCACCCTCTCAGAAATGAGGGAATGTGCCCAGCCGTGGGACGTATATAGGCTGTAACTTTTACTTTACGTTACTTTACTATATAGAATATATACTCATTTTATTTATATTGAAATAGGTTGTACAAAATTTCTAATTTTACCACATGTTTCTTTTTACGGTAGTTTGCTTTTCGGATTTAGAACTATACTACGTTAAAAAAATATTCAAAATAAAATCTAAGAGGTCTAAAATGAAAGAAATACCTAACAAAGTTCTTAGGAGACTAGAAGTCTTAATATTTACCTTGTCTAACTTTCATCCTATATCCTACATTTACGTTAACTTTTTTTTTATAATTTATTTCAATATGTATTTTAATATTATTTTGTATTTAGATTTAAATATTGATTTTAATGTGAATTTATTCATGTTTAAGAATATTTTTATGGTCAAACGGGCAGATCTTAGAGGACTTGCAATTGTATAAATATAATCGGTGTTGTATATGTAACCTGTGTTCACTATAAATTAATTTTAATTTGAATTTATTTTAATTTTTTTTGTTATTAATTATATTGTTAGATTTGCTAGACAAACTTTAAACTATGCCATGCAAAAAGTCTAAATATTTTGGAAGTAATAATATAAGGCACTCTCAGTTTTAAAGACAAGAAATCCAACACCAACTTTGCCAAAATTATTGGTCGTTATACAAGACATTTTTAGTATTTATGAGCGAGTAATTTCGCTATCTGTCGCAGACCACGAGATTATTTTCATAAAAAGCCTAAAGCAAAAATGACGTTGCCTACGTAACGAGATAGGTCGATAGGTATTCTGGTACTGTTGTCATAGAAAAAACCATTATATATAATTGGTTTTCAATATATATATATATATCTCGTCGGACTATTTGTCCCAGGTAAACGTACTCGTCAAGAACTTCGAGCATAGTGCTCCCAACAACTACCGGCATAGGTGTGACATGGACATTAAACATGATCTTTGTTTTGTCCATGTTCATCTTAAGACCTATCCGTTGGGAGGCACTATTGAGGTCATTGAGCATAGTGCTTAAGTCCTCCAGCGATTCTGCCATAAGGACTATGTCGTCGGCAAATCGAAGGTGAGTGATGTACTCGCCATTGATGTT